TGTTTTTGGGACTTTGGACCAATGTTTATTTTTTCTAATCAAATCAAAAAGCTTTAATGAGCAGCTGGGTTTGTCTCGCATTAACTGGTTGGACACAGAGGACATCGACATGCAGCTGATTGAACTGAAAAGCTCGACTCTGTGGGGGTCAAAGTTTGCAGAACTACGAACGCAGCTAGAATCCACAGCTGTGCGTGTTCATGGAGCTTGAATTTTCACTAGCTGGACATCACTACCTGACAAGTTTAACTGTCTTCAGAACATTGTAGAGGCCTTATTGACAGTATTTGGCTCCACATATCTGTGTGAGCAGATTTTCTCTCACACGAAGAGTGTCCTCGGGTAGCCGTCTGAATGCTGGACACTCAGAGACATGTGTGTCTGAGTGGGAGACCAGAGATCACATTAACATGTGTATCCCTGTATTAACAAACATGCCATACTGACCCAGTTTATTTTTCTTATCATTGTTGTGAGGAGACCATAAATAGCATTTGCATTTTCTGTTGTTCATTTGCTGTTATGGAGTTCTTGTTATGGATAGAAAGTGTCTTTTTGTTTCAAAATAGCTGATAACTATTCGCTGATAGCTGCCAACATCTGCAAACAAATATAATTCTATGAAGTTGTTCTATATAGTGTGTAACTGTTAATATAGAGCGTTATTAAATTTATTGCTAATGCAATCATATGGCACACTGACTTCTGAGGAAATTTTAAATGGCACTCATCATCAGAAAGGTTGTCGACCCTTGGTCTAAGGCCAGCGCTAGCAAGCACTCTCTGCTTATGACCAAAAAAACAAAAAACAAAAAATCAGCCTTTTCGTGTTGGTGGAAAAATGTACCATGTTGACCAATCAAAAGTGATATGGCAACATGACATTTAGTTGTTTAGGAAGAGGGGGAAGTTTAGGAGTGACAGCGAGAGAGAGAAAGAGAGAGAGAAAGACAGCAGAAAAAGAGAGAGAGCGAGTTTTGAGATGTGAGAGATTTGTGACGTTTAGCGTGTTTGGAGTGTGTAGTTAATGTGTTGTCTTGTGTAGTTAGTGTGTAGTGTTGTGGATAGTTTTGTGTTGTGTGTCAGAACAATGAGGCGACTGCTGTCTCCAGGTAGAAACAGGAGTGATACACCTGCTGCTGTCAGACCTGCAGGTATCAGGCTGTGATGTTCTCCTTTATAGTGGACAGAAATTTTTGGAGTGGCACAAATAATTTGTGTGGCATCTTATTGAATGCAGAACAGCTGATTGTTCTGTAAATAGTTTGAAATGGTTATTTAAAAAAGGGTAAAAGGTAAATGGCTGCAAATAACTTTGTTGTTTGCAAAACTTGTGCATATGATTTTAAAATTGACAATTTATATTTGCATTTAAAGTTATGAAATATGATTCATTAAACATGTTTGTGGTTGTTACAGTAAAAATATAACTTTTTCTACTGATTTTATGTTTTTTGTCTGATTTTAGATCAATTGTGTTAATACAGTATGTCAAAATGAAAACATAACTGTAAATTCAGACACGTGAGGTTGTGCTGAAAAGAATGATACCAAACAAGGCAAAGTAAATAGTTTTTAAAGGTGAAATGTAGAGGAAAATCAAAAGTAGTTAAAAATGGCCAATTATACCCTGGACCCCAGAGGGTTAAACATTTTTTTTAAAGTAACGCAATAGTTACTTTTCAAGTAATTAATTACTTTTAGAATATTGTAACTCAGTTACTAACTCAGTTACTTTTTTGAAGAAGTAACTAGTAACTATAATTAATTACTTTTTCAAAGTATCTTGCCCAACACTGGTCATGGATTGGTCTCCCCAGAACCCAGACCTCAACATTTTTGGAGCAGTATGGGATCATCCCGAGAGAGAAGAGAACAAAAGGCACCAAACAACCAAAACAGAGCTTTGACTGTCCTTAGAGAAGCACGGAGAACTATTCCTGAAGAATAGTTCATGACTTAATGACATTATAAGAAAGCTTGTCTAAAACAGTTCACAATGTGTTGAGGAGCAAAGGTGGTCATATCAGATACTGACTTTCAAGATTGGTAAAACTGTACTAACTGTGTTCTTTATTTCCACATGTGATTGCCGATTTGGATAAATTGCTGAACTATTTTTCCCATTTTCCTCGCAAAGGATGAAGATATGAAGGGTGGCTCAAGATTTTTACACAGTAGTCTAAGAGGATAGATATTAACTGTTTATCTCGTCCATTTTTTTCTCCATGTTTTTAATTCTTTTGTGCAAGCAACGTTTTCAGATTGTTTTTATGTTTAAATAGCAACTAAAGGTGATATTAGACTTATCACATATAAAAATATCTAAAATACCAAACGGTCCAAATGATTAATTGTCATTGGCAGCACAACAGCAAGCTATGATGCAACTCAAATATTTATTTAAGCTCTTTTCTAAGATGTAAAAATAACCGTGATCATCTTTTGCTGAGCATATTTTGAAAGCCTTATTTTGAAGAGGATAGAATTTTTTTTTTTCAAAAAATATTAAATATCTTACTTTTGAAATATATTTCTAGGATTAGGCAATCTTGCTGAGGTTTGCACTCTCTAAGCCCTTTTTTGACTTATAATCTTCTTAGATATCACTCTTGACTCAAAAACACTCTATTTCCCCAGAGCAACTTTGCTTTTGAAGAATGCAAATTAGTTACTTGTAAACAGAGCGACCAAGAGAGGAAATATGAGCTACAGTCAGAGCTGTGTGGTGCAGAAAACTGAGAAATTCACCACCACCAGACTTCGGAAGCTTTTATTTTAATTGCCCAACAGCATAATATCTTGACTTTTACTAACAAAAGCCATTTTTCCTCTTGTGCATGCTGTAGCATAGCCTATCAGGAGGTGACAATGAACTCTTTAGTTGTTGGTGATTTAATCTTTTTTCCATTTATATGCTAAGTCTGGCGCAAAATGGTTTTGTGCCACCATCATCTTCTATGATCTTAATCTTTCTGACACTAAATGGAAATTCACTGTGCATGTCCCTGAACTGTCTGCACTGCTCACATCCCAACCACAGTAAGTAGGCAAGTGGTCAGGACCTGTGTGGCATGAGGCTTCTTCTCACAGGAGTCCCAGAGAAAGTGTTTAAGTCACTCTGGAGTCTTAGTAGTAAGACTTCAGAGTGTGGTATGAAAGAGGATTGTTTCTGACAAGGACCATGAGGGTCTGAATATTATTACAGTCCTGAGGGATGCAGAGAAAATAGAACAGAAGGACAAATGAGGCTGTAGTAACTCACCACCAAGAGGATACGAATGCTTGGGCTTCGGGACAAAACAGTAATACAAGACAAGACAACTGTCTAAGGACAAACTATGGTACCTAGAAAAAAACACCCAAGGCTGCAAAACTTGACATAAAATTGCTGCTTTTTTTGGACCATAACCTTTTATTTCTTTTTGCACTTTCAAGTTTGTTGTAGTATAGAGGAAATACGTAAAATATAAAAGGTAAATATTAATTTAATATAATAATATAATCATATACAATTGTGTCAGCCACACATTACACAGGTCACACAGGTGCCATGTGAGGTGAATAGCCTTGGCTATCTCATTCCAAAGCAAGACTTTTCTGGGAATCCTTGGCGCTCGGCATTGAAGCAGATGCTATTTTAATACATACCACCCAGTTTAGGGTAGGCCAACATCATAGTCCTTCAAGTTCATATGCGTGTGAAGACAGACAAGAAAATACTTCAAGCATGCATAGTGGATAGTGCAAGTCAGGGTGCTAACTAAAATTAAGCTCTCGGGTGCTGTGGCTTATTGGGTCATAATGATATTCTCCTATTATTCTCAGGGCACCCAGAAAAACTACACTGAAAGTATTTTTGGAGGATGGAAGTGGCTTAGGGGAGGCTTGGTCCATCATTAGCTGCTGCACGCTAACTCTTCAAACCTTAATGAAATATTCAGTGTTGTGCTGGAATGTCTGCAGCTGTACCCGGCTTCAACAAGATTACCATCATTTATTAAGACACAACAATGGGCGAGGCAGAGGAAGTAAAAGCCCATACAACCCCCTTAGGTATTTATGAGAACTCTAATCTATCAAAGAAGACATTTTTGTTAAGACAAGACTCATGTAGATGTGCCCTTTCTTGATTCATCCGTCATATGCCGTGCTTGTGCTTTGGCTTTACAAGCTGTAGATTCAGTCCACTGAGCTTTTGTTCCATGTGGAGAAGATGCTTTTCATTATGCACCGGTGAACAACACTAAAAGGAAAGTTTTCATTTCATTTGAAAGATGAAAGTGTGCTCTATGTCCCTCAAGGTTGCTCTGGCTCTTTAAATGTCAAATGATTACTGCAGTTCTTAACAATTCATTTTTTCTGTTCTTAAATTTTAAAAGTTCATGGTCCTTTGATTCAGCATCCCAGAACATTCACACCTCATTGACTCGATGGGTTGCTGATTGAAAATCTTGCAGTGACATAGGTTATCAGCAGATTTCTATGTTGGCAGATCATCAATACACACTTCACTGCCTTTTTTCCCTTCTAATAAAACAATCAATTTGCTTTTGTTTGAAGGGGCATGCATGGTTGAGGATTATCATGCTTGATTTCTTCTCTTGGTAGGCAGAGTGCAAATAATGAATAACAGTGATAATAATACATTTTAGATCGCTTAAGGCATCAATATACTCTCCATCTTTAATGTGAGGAAATTTAATCTAAACACTTGTTGGCTGAAATAGGAACATGAATATATTTATGATGATCTTGTCAATTACGTAAATGAAGGCACAATGCTGATATTGACCTCTTGGCATTGTCTTACAACAATGACTGCACTGTTATTATACTCATATATTTGAGTGTTGTCAGAGCTCCACCTTGTGGTATTACATTAGCATTGTTGGTTCCATGCTTTACTCATATCTCATTCTGTCTAATCTTTCACTATTGTTATACCACTGACTGTCTTCTGTCTTTTTATCTCACTCTTTTCCCTTTTTTTATCCTAATTTGACCTCCAATTATCATTCTCCTGCTCTACTTTCTTGCAACTTTCCTTCCCTCTTATTTTCATCCTGCCCGTCCTCACCATAATCCATCCAATCTGTTCCTGCGCTATTCTTCGTCCTCCCTCCTTTCTATCTTTAAGATCGTTATCGGGACGAATCGTAGGAGGAGTGTGGTGGTTCTTCACTCTCATCATCATCTCGTCCTACACGGCCAACCTGGCCGCCTTTCTCACTGTGGAGAGGATGGTTTCTCCCATTGAGAGTGCAGAGGATCTGGCCAAACAGACCGACATTGCCTATGGCACATTAGACTCTGGCTCAACCAAAGAGTTCTTCAGGGTGAGTTGGTGTTACCAGAGTTAGTGACCTACTTTCAGACAGGTATGGGACCCTGTGAAGGCCTACAATCTTTGACACTCACACACGCTCAAAAGCAAAGACTCATCAAAATATTGTTTTCTTCTAGTCCCTATTATACCTTGTCAAGGTATGTTACTCCAGTGATTCCCAACCAGGAGGTATTTCTGCTAGGAAGACAAGCTTGGGAACTGAAATTACAGTCAATGTAATGACTGAGTAGACCCAAACTTGTTTGAGTAGAAAAGTTGAAAGTAAATGGACTTTTCTACTCTCCCGGAGTACTCAAAGCGCTCTATACAACACATTCACACAAGTACTGTCTTCTATGCTTTTAAGTGCACACTAACATTCACATACATTCACACTCCGATGGATGCATCGGAGAGCAAATTGGGGTTAATATCTTGCCCATGCAGACTAGGGGGAGCCAGGGAACCACCAACCTTCTGATTACCAGATGACCTGCTCCACCTCCTGAGCTGCAGCCACCCCATAAGTTGGTTAAAGCATTAGAAATAAGACTGAAATTGGAAATAAAATAAAGACATTTAAAATTAAGTTTTCATAAATGAAAAAAAGTATGACAGCATTTAAAGGTATTAGTTGCCTTTCAGCTGCTCAGCGAGCAGTTCAAAATGTTGGCTGAAAGTAAACAAGCTTTTTTAGTTTTCCAATTTTGGATGAACGGATGAAATAATAAACTAGAATTGTGGCTAAAAATTGTAAATAATTGACTATGTGGCTTACACTTGAAATTTATAGCTAAAATTCTGTAAAAAAATATTCACATCCATAACTATATTAGATTAATATTTGAGATGGTAAACTAAAATATAAATATGTATTGTCTAATAAATTATTAAGGTGCTGTTAGAATTTCAATTAGATTGCAAAGAAAATTAAAGACCTAGCTGGTTAAAATTATAACTAAAGAGCTGGATAGTATAGTTACCAATTAGACTGTTGATAAAAGTTTTGATTAACGGTTGAAATAGCAAGCTAAAAGCTAAACGAGTAGAACATTAACTGAAATTTGTAGTGTTTGTTAGCCACCATTGTAGATAAACAAAAAAGTCACAAAAACATTTTTAAAATGGGCACCTAAATAAAAGCTGGAAATTATTTTTATATTACTATTATTATTATAAGTTGAAATAGCTAGCTAAAAGCATGGCTAGCAATTGAAATGGTTTACTAGATATACTAGATAAACAGATAAAATAACAAGGTAAATTATAAATAGTAAATATTAAATAAATTAAAATGGTGGCTATTAGTTTGGGTTTTAATAACGTATGTAGACAAAAATATAAGCATAATAAACGCAGCTAAAAAAATTTACTTAGAAATGAGAGTAAAAAGTTGGAAATTTGTTAGCTAATTATGTTAGCTAATTATTACCTAGCTTTGAGAACAGTTTGCGAAAATATAAACAATAGATCATCATCATCATTGATCATCAGTGATAATGTTCACTAGAAGCAGTTATAAAAGTTAGCTAACAGTTCTGTTTGTTCTTAAGAATATGATTAAAGATATGAAATGGGCTGCTAGCTGTTTATCACGCTGTACTAAAACTGTAAATCATTAGTTAAGAGTGTGGCTAGCAGTTAAAATTATTTAGCTAAAAGTTTTTTAACAGTTAGAATTTTGCATTAAGAGTAATAATATTTCATTTTAAAATTGTACTCCCCTCAGAGACGTAGATCATGGGAATAACGGCACCTAATTATTTGTTGTTGGTATAGCTGGAACTACTGTTTCTTTATCTGTGAGTGTGGTATTCAGGAAGGATTGCCTTGAACCATCTTGTTTGTAAAGACTTCAGACCCAACAGGACACCAAAGAGTACCAAAGACACTGGGGGCTGGGAAAGATGATAACAAGGCTAAACTGCCACTGAAAGTAGTCAAGAATTCAGTTTAAAATGAGTTTATATGAACACGCTTGAATATGAGAAGTGTTGGTGGCTGGTTCCATCTGACAGGGCTTTAGAGTATACCAGTTGAAAAGGGTTGGGAACCATTGGTCTGTACAACTGCCGGTATTGTTATTTGACTTTTTTGCAGTAAAATGTTTCAAAGCTGATAAACAAAAATTGTAAATTGTTGAACTGATGCTCCATGTTTTCTCTATTTTGTATTGTATGTGAACATGCTTTCTCTGTCACTCACACATCATCTACCTTTGAACCTCCAAACCCTTCCAAACCCCACAGCGGTCCAAAATTGCTGTTTATGAGAAGATGTGGGGATACATGAAGTCTGCTGAGCCCACAGTCTTCACCAAGACCACGGCTGAGGGTGTGGCGCGGGTCCGCAAGTCCAAAGGAAAATACGCCTTCCTGTTGGAGTCCACTATGAATGAGTACACAGAGCAGCGCAAGCCCTGCGACACAATGAAAGTCGGGGGCAACTTGGACTCCAAGGGCTATGGAGTAGCCACACCCAAGGGTTCACAGTTAAGGTGGGTGGAATAGTGTAACAATATGTTCTACGTGTTGTTATGGTATTCCACCTTCCCTGGTGTGCCGCCTTTTCTATCTCTATCTGCCTCCACATACTGCTTAGTGTTGGTGGGTGGGGCGTTTTATGTGTTTGTTTGAGGGCACAAGTAGCCGCTTAGTGACATCTGTGTTTGTTGCATGCATGTGGGGCTTCATTGTGGGTGGTTTTTATTCACTTTTTTTGTCTTTACAGCTCTCCACAACAGGTAAATGTATGTGCTTGTGCTTGCTGTTTGGGCAAAGACATGTTGGAATGGCATGCTCTGGAAGCTCTCATCTGAAAATGTCTCATTTAGAAGATAATCTGCATTTTATATACAAAATGTAATTGCTCTGAGATATTTAGCTAATGCTACTTCAGTGTTCCTTCACGGTTGACTGGTTCTTTATTTTCAACTAAGTGACTGAAATAGTGCTTTGGGAGCCATTTGAAAGCTCAGCCCTGGGTAACTCTGCCAGACACTGTCACAGCCTCCCGCTCATAGTGGAATTTACAGACCTGCCACAGAATACAGTGGCATTACAGTGGGGAGTTGCAATTTCAATCCACACACTCATCGATCAAAGCCCTCCAGCAAGGTCTCACTGAGGGGAAAGGATAAATATACTAAAGGCAAAACTGCACAGGGGTGTGAATGAAATTGCATTCACTTTAATTTATTCCTGTGGAGGTATAAGAACACATATTTGAAAACCAGGGAGAGCACTTTAAGCATATCATGTATATGTTACTTCCTCTAGAATAGTTACTACGCGTTTTACGAGAGTAGCTTTTGTGCTATCAAATTATTAGCTCTATGTAGCATTTGAGGACTGTTAGTTTTAAACCCACATAAAGAGTTACAATTTTTGCCAATTCGTATACATAGACTCCAATATTGTGAAAGTTTAATTCTCCTATACCTCACCTCCCTCACATTTTTAGATCTTTCTACTTATTCTTAATTCATGTCATGTGTCCTGTGGGTAAAATCCAGCTGATGTCTTTTTTTTTTTGAGGGGGGGGGGGGGGGGGGGGGGGGGCGGGGGTCATTTATTTGTTTTTTTATGAGGTGTATTTTATACCTAAATTAAAATTTTTAACTTCTATTTACTCAGAATAATTTGACATCAGTTCATCTCGTATATGCATGCAGCAGAAAAAATTTGCTTAATGTTTGGTTTATATGCAAGATTTGACTTTCTAGCAAACTATTGTTTGCATTCAGTAACTGTTTAATCTTGTCCTCTTACATATTAGAGCAGAACTGAGAGAGAATAGTAAGAATATCAAACAAAGCTTTGTGCCCTGTTAGCGATTTGAACTCCAGACCGCCTGCTCTGGGGCTTTTTCGTCAACATAGTTTAAGGCTATGTCCGCAAATATATGGATATTACTGAAAACTGGACTTTTTTCCATTTGGCTTTGACAAAAAAGATTAATGTCAAGGGCATGCCAAAGCAACAGATGGCAATATAACCCCAACTATAGAGAGATTTTGGCCAATCGAAAGCCTCCAAACAGTGGCACAGCACCCAGTCTGATATGAAAAAGGTGACCTTGTCCACACGTAAATGCAGAAATTGAGTTTTTAAAAGCTCTGCCTTTAATGATCTAAAATATCTTTTGTCCCCGTAGTTGTTTTCTGTAAATTCCTCTGGTCACAAAACCTAAAGTAGGGTTTCTATCATTTGTTTGCAGCCAGGCTGGTGCCAGTTTTCAGCCACTGCTTTGACCAGGAAGAATCGATGTCTCGTTCACTCTTGGCATACAGCTTGATGTCATCCATGTACAGGAGGTGGCTGACAACTGCTCCGTTCCGTAGTCGGTATCCGTAGCCAGTCTTGTTAATGATCTCACTGAGGGGGTTCAGGCCTATGCAGAACAGCAGTGGGGACAGAGCATCTCCTTGGTAGATCCCGCACTTGATGGTGACTTGTGCTATGGGCTTGGAGTTGGCCTCTAGTGTTGTACGCCACATCCCCATTGAGTTCCTGATGAAGGCTCTTAGGGTCCCATTGATCTTGTACAATTCTAGGCATTCCAGTATCCAGCTGTGGGGCATTGAGTCATAGGCCTTCTTGTAATCAATCCAGGCAGTGCACAGGTTGGTCAGTCTGGTCTTGCAGTCTCGGCTGACTGTTCTGTCTACCAGTAGCTGGTGTTTTGCGCCTCTGGTATTCTTGCCAATTCCTTTCTGTGTCCCGCTCATGTATTGACCCATGTGCCTGTTCATCTTAGCCGATATGATGCCTGACAGGAGCTTCCATGTAGTACTGAGGCAGGTTATTGGTCGGTAGTTGGAGGGGACCGGTCCCTTCTTGGGGTCCTTGGGGATCAGGACCGTCCGACCTTCGGTTAGCCATTCCGGGTGTCTCTCGTTAACTAGCAGCTGGTTCATTTGTGCTGCCAGACGCTCGTGGAGTGCAGTCAGCTTCTTTAGCCAGTAGGCGTGAACCATGTCGGGCCCTGGTGCTGTCCAACTCTTCATACTGGAGACCCTTTCTTGGATATCTGCCACTGTGATGGTTACTGGACCCTGTTCAGGGAGGTCGCTGTGGTCTGCCCTCAGATCCACTAGCCACTGAGCATTGCCGTTATGGGTTGCGTCCTTCTCCCATATGCTCTTCCAGTATTGCTCCGTCTCCAGCCTTGGTGGTGCTGTTCTCTTATTATTGTTCCCTTGCCACTGAGAGTACACCTTTGCTGGTTCTGTGGAGAACAGCTGGTTTATTCTCCTGCCTTCTATCTCTCTGGTGTACCTCCTCAAGCGGCTGGCCAAGGCTGTGAGTCTTTGCTTGGCAGTTTCCAAGGCCTCAGGTATGGACAGCTTGCTGTATTTCTTATGCACCTTCTTTGTCGCACCTTTCTGCAACTCCGTTAGTTGGCTAACCTCCCTCCGTGCTACTTTGATCTTGCCCTCTAGCCTCCTTCTCCATGGAGGGTACTGCCCCTTGTGGCTGTTCAACTTGTAGCCAAGCATCTCACTGATCACTGCTGCCGTATTGTAGATCAGCTTGTTAGTGTCGGTAATCGTGGTTGTAGGTATTGCCCGTAGTGCTGCATTAACATCATCTAGCAGACCTTCTGAGGGTACTTCACGTAATCTTGGTAACCGGCTACGGGGGATCCAGGTTTCAAGCTTGGCCATTATCCTATTTTTCAGGTCAGTTCCTCTCGCACTCAACGATCCTTCTCCTATCGCACTTGGGGCTATGTACCCAATCTCGGGTGGGGGTGATGATATCTCCCCCCTGACCTGGCGTCCTGACTCCTCCTTGCCGTAGCATTTGTGTTGTACCTCGTCAATCTCTAGCTGTGAGAGCAGTCCCTTCTTTCGAATGTTGGAACACTGAGCTACTAGTTGTTTCGCCGTCATTGTGGATGTTGGGTATCGAAGAATCCATAGGTCCGTCATCCTATTCATGTATATATATATATATATATATATATATATATATATATAATATATATAATAGATATATACAGAGATAGATATATATGTA